AACTTATGCTAGTGAGACTTGGAACCTTACCAAGCAGAGAACCTTCTCAATACATGGGAGAGGAAAATCCTCAGAAAAATATATAGCGCAGTAACAGAGGCGTAGCGTGGTGGGGGCAGGGGGGGCAGATGTCCCCGGGCGCCAGCTAGTTAGGGGCGCAAAAATGTGCTTTGATATTATTTTATTGATGAAAATAATTGGTTTGAGAGTTGAAAAAAAGAAAGAGGGGCGCTTTAAAATGAATCTTGTCCCCGGGCGCCAAACACCCTCGCTACGCCACTGCACAGTAATTAATACAAAATGCTGTCTGGAGAATCCGTACAAACCAAGAGCTATACCAATTGTACAAAGACCCACCCATAGTCGCAACAATTTTAAAAAAAAGGCAGACTGCTCTGGACAGGACTTATTGAAATGATGCCGGAATGTAGCGCAGCAAAAGTGATATACATGCAGAAAACTAGGGGCAGACGACTCACCGGTCGCCAAAAGCTGAGATGGATCGACGACGTAGAGAAGGATTTACACCAGCTGAGGGTTCGCGCATGGAGGCGGAAAGCCATGGATCGTTCCGAATGGAAGAATGGGGTGGAGCAGGCGAGGGCCCTGCATGAGCTGTGGCGCAACTGATGATGATGATTCTTTATTGGGCGTGAAATTTGCTTAATTTTTGTTACTCCCATTATGTAGGCTATAATGCTCGAGAAGGTCCCTCTAGGCATTAGATTGCAAAATCAACACAGACTTTCTTTGATGCAAATTATTTCAAATGAATTACAATTAAAGACGAGGTCATCATTTTGTATCAGTCTGGGGCAAATTGATAAAACTGAACATTTCTGACCCTTCTTAATATATTGACATTATTCAATATCATCCATTGTGTCACAGAACGATTGATACGAAGGGGGGCTCCGGTCCTGACTTATCACAAACTGTATTGATTTAGTAGTGGTCAGTACAGGACCGCTCCTCTCTGTGATTTATATTTTGGGTACCTAGGCTTTGAGACAGACAAAAGCACAACGTTGAGAGAGACAAAAGTACAACAATGAGACAGACAAAAGTACAACGTTGAGACAGACAAAAGCACAACGTTGAGACAAACAAAAGCGAAACGTTGCGACAGACAAAAACACAACTTTGAGACAGACAAAAGCACAATGCTGAGACAGACAAAAATCACCACATTGACGTGAACTAATGGAGATAACAAACTTCAGGTCTCCAGATGATAATACAATATACATTAATTACTTAGTACTAAACAGAACACCGTTCTTCTGCTAATTTTCACTAGCTCTATCACTTGCTTACGTCGTTTCAACTATTCCTCTGTCAAACTAAGTCATCCGTCGTCTCAACTGATCTCTTGCAACAGTTCCATTTCGACTCCCCAGTAACCCCAAATCTCTACTCCCCAGTGACCCCGAATCTCTACTCCCCAGTGACCCCAAATCTCTACTCCCCAGTGACCCCAAATCTCTAGCTTATAGCTCGCCTTCTTGATACGACAAACTACTCACCAATTGGAACCCACGTTAATTGATTTACACATCATTATCCCTATGCATTACCTGCTAAACCTTCTTTCTACAGCAGAGGCGTAGCGAGGTGGGGGCAGGGGGGGGCAGATGTCCCCGGGCGCCAGCTAGTTAGGGGCGCCAAAATGTGCTTTGATATTATTTTATTGATGAAAATAATGGATCTGAGAGTTGAAAAAAAGAAAGAGGGGCGCCTTAAAATGGATCTTGTCCCCGGGCGCGAATCTTGTCCCCGGGCGCCAAACACCCTCACTACGCCTCTGATCTACAGTCCCCTTACGACAATCGGATGTACTCGGGGCCGGGTTGGTTCACATGTTATGCATTCTCGGCTATATCCTCTTTCTACAGTTCCCAAGTGACCCTATGACTTGGCTCCCAGGCCATGTCTTCACTGCATCAACATAAACCACCATTAAGTGCCTAAGTCGACTCCTCACTCGCCTGTAGCAATTATTTCTTTCATAATATTTCTCAAAGAACTGAACTCACTACACCATTTCTTCAACGACAGCTTTGTTCGCGCGACTTGTTTCTGTGTGTTAGTGTGCATTTCTGTGTGTTTTTGTGTATGTTTGTGTTTTTGTGTGCATGTGTATATTTGTGAGTGTGTTTAGGCGTGTTAATACGTATGTGTTTTTTCAGTATGTTTGTATATTTTATACGTTTTTATATGTCTGTGGTGCTCTTTTTTTCCCTATATGTTTAACTTGAGTCTTTGCGTGCGCGCGTGATGTTATACAGCAGACGAGAAGATACCCCTCACAAACGATCATCAACTTTTAGATGTTTTACCGTTTCTGAGCACTTAAATGACAATTACCGTTTACCACTTCTACACGGCCGATCAATTACTGTATACCCACATCGCCTGGCGTGCCCCTTGTAATAGCCGCTAAGTTTACATATTGATCTATCGATACTTGATACACCATCTTTAGTTACAGCAGTGTACACACGTGACTGATACACCAGTGATAGTGAAACGTAAATATAAAGCCGATAATCTTCGTGTGGTCTATTAACCTTATCATTATCATTTTTACTGTTCTAATTTTTTAAACTTTCTATTTAATGTCTATCACCATTTAAAAAAAAAAAAAAGTTAATGATATTTTCTTTTATTTACAGGTAAGAGTCACGTGACCAATTGTAAGTAACAACAAACATAATACACTTAATATATTGTTAATAACAAGCCACGTCACAAAAGCTTATGTTCAAGTATTATAAAATGCGTGTCTTGGAGAATGATGGAGGGTGATACAGTCAGTGGTGTAGCTAGAGTTCATGACGCCCGGGGCTGTTCCTTGATTTTCCACCCCAACTAAAAAAAAACCCTTAGAAAACATAGAGATTACACAGAAAACAAAGAAGGTGTGTTTTACGCAGTTGAAAGACAGATACGGCCGCCCACTCAAACAAATGAAATGAAATAAATTAGAGACCCCCCGGACCTGACCACCCCTCCCCCCCCACCCCCTTCGTGCCCGACGGGGTACCGTCCCCATGCTTCACTGGCTTGATGGAATCCTTCGTCTTGAGAAGATTCACTGGTTACGGAAGTAATTCTGTGAGGCCATTGGTCCAGTGACACTCAGAAAACATATGGCAGCTTGCATGTAGCTACTCTACGGGTAGCAGCCAAGGGCTACACAAAAATGATAGTTAGTAAGATGGAGTCTTACGCTGCACAGCCACAGGAGTGGTGCAGATCGAAGCATCGTTGTATGATGTAGAAGGAGTGCTCCGTGTCTGTCATCGTGGTAAGGTATTATGGTTGTGACATGATTACAGTGGATGAATGATTGCTAAAATCATGACATCACAGCGGATGGGTTATTAGTTTAATCATTACATTACAATGGATGAACAAGTAGTATAATCATTGCATTTCAGTGCATGAGAAATTAGTATAATTATTGCATTTCAGTGCATGAGCAATTAGTACAATCATTGCATTACAGTGGATGAGCAATTAGTACAATCATTGCATTACAGTGGATGAAAAATTAGTATAATCATTGTATTTCAGTGGATGAGCAATTAGTACAATCATTGCATTACAGTGGATGAAAAATTAGTATAATCATTGCATTTCAGTGGATGAGCAATTAGTACAATCATTGCATTACAGTGGATGAGCAATTAGTACAATCATTGCATTACAGTGGATGAAAAATTAGTATAATCATTGCATTTCAGTGGATGAGCAATTAGTACAATCATTGCATTACAGTGGATGAAAAATTAGTATAATCATTGCATTTCAGTGGATGAACAATTAGTACAATCATTGCATTACAGTGGATGAAAATTAAGTATAACCATTGGTTTACAGTGGATGAACAATAGTATAATCATTGCATTGCAGTGGATGAACAATAGTATAACAATTGGTTTACAGTGGATGAACAATAGTATAATCATTGCATTGCAGTGGATGAACAATAGTATAATCATTGCATTGCAGTGGATGCATTAGAAGTGTAATCTACCGATACTCGCGCATGTGAAATGTAATTTTAAAACATATTTCAAAATGAACTTTGACAAGAATGAATGGCCTGGTTTGAACTTTTTTTTGAATTTTTCATGACATTATTTGTGTACAAAAGATGAAATTTTCATGTTGTCAACATCACCATATTATGTACGGTCAACAACAAGTCTAAGCGTTCTTGACGAACAGGTCACAACTCATTAGAAATGGCGACCAGGTCTTTGCAGGCGAGAGTGTGGGACCAGACAGTGCATCACTGTCACAATGATGCACGGTAAATTGAACGCCAGGTTCCGGAGGAGGGCCAGATTTGAATATATACTTGAATAAAAAACAAAATTTAATATTTTAACAGGAAATAATCGATAGTGGCAAACTCTCGACACCATGTGTTTGCCTTGAGACTTACGGAAAGCGCACTTTCGCATTTGCTGGTCCAACAATTTGGAACGCCCTTCCTGTCGATCTCAGAAACAACCAGACACTGGAGTGCTTTAAAACCGATTTAAAGACACATCTATTTCGAAAACACCTTCTGGGATGATTGTCTATCTTATTTTCCAGTTAATGCATAATGGCTGTGTTGCTTATGGTTGAAATGGCTAGAAAGACTTTGACATTGTAATGCTTGTAATTAGTTTTTGTAGTGTAGACTTTGTACCTTTGGGGATGAAGCGTGTTTTTGAAATGAACTTTATTATTATTATTTTTTTTTAAGTGCATCAATTAAAGAATGTTGACTTCCTCAACCGGTGTAAGCTACGTCTAGACCGGTAGGTCACTGCACATCGATCAAATGTATCAAATGAAGTAGAACTAATCTCACATCAAAACCAACAGGCGGAACACACATCAAGCAATGTTTACAAAACATATAATAAAATTGTAATCAGTTTTGTTCGTGGAGAGGGCTGAAAAAAAAAAGGGGGGGGGGGGGGTGTGTTTCCTTGATATCAACTGAAGTTGTTATCGTTAAGCAGAAGCAAATTCGCGTCGCGCGCACACCATCCGGTGATGTAGATGTGCTCTATGTAAAAGAAAGGGATTCTCAATGCGCTGAGGTACAGCCTCGCCGCAACTTTTCCAGGATACCCGTACGTTGGCCCCAGCGACTTGTCTGGGAGACCCCCGGGACGGCGCGCAGACGTGTTCTCCAGCGACATGCCTCCGTAGTAACGGATTTTCCCTAAAATGAACTCTTCGTGACTGTAGCTCTGGCGGTACAGTGCGACGATGAGGTCATTAAAATCCTCGACTGTCTCCCCGACGTTCATCTTCAGGACAAATTTGACATGGGAGCAAAACTCCGATACCCATTTCAGTATCGATACCGACTTTAGGGTTGTGGTTAAGTCGGAATCTGGGAAGTCGAGCTGGAGGATATCCCCGTATCGATCCACTTCTTCGTCGACGAGCGTTTGCACTTCCGGGTCGTGCAGCGACACCCCGACCACGAAGACGAGAGTTGTCGGGAGTTCCCGGACAGTCTCGTAGTACATGGTCCGTGCGTTGGTTCTTGAAGACAGGTCACCGACTTCCGCTGTCCGCACGATAATCAGTTCCAATCCTTCTTTCGCGCAGATTTGCCGTGGATTGTGGATGTACTCCAATTTCCGGGATTCGAATATAAATTTGGATAATCTCCCTCCAGTTTTATGTGTGACGTCTGAGCTATTTGATCGTATTGCTTCCATTTTATGAGTCGTGTCAGTTTTCAGCTCCTGAGCTGTCAGGCGTTTTGCTTGGAGTTGGATGAGACCCACGTTGGTGTATGAGTTAACCAGCAGTACAGCAGTTTGGAGAATGGTAACAGTCGTACACAGACAGATGCACGCCATTTGTTGGCGACCGACTTTGGTCAAACGTCCAGCACTTTTGAGAGGGGGCATGTCCTAAATGCCCGGTCACCCGTAGGACTGAAAGTGTAAGGGGAGACTATCGATTAGTCATCTAATAAGAATTTCCACGTTGAAGAACTTTAAGAAAGCATTTGAAAAAAAAATGTGATAGAAGGTTGACATGAAGATCGGAAATAGACATGGAGCTATGAGGTTGTGATAAAGATTGGGGGTAGTTAAATGAGGGTTGGGGTGTAGAGATGATGATGGAAGACACGAGGATTGGAGATAGTGGAAAAACATGAGGATTGGAGGTAGTAGAAATGAGGATTGGAGGTAGTAGAAATGAGGATTGGAGGTAGTAGAAATGAGGATTGGAGGTAGTAGAAATGAGGATTGGAGGTAGTAGAAATGAGGATTGGAGGTAGTAGAAATGAGGATTGGAGGTAGTAGAAATGAGGATTGGAGGTAGTAGAAATGAGGATTGTTAGGAAAAAAAAGAGATTTGGAGGTATATGATACCGTATCCGGAAATTTGTTTGAAAGAAATTTCGTCGACGGAAAATTTATTGACGGAAGTTTGGTCGAATTTTATTTTCAATTCACACGCTCAAATTTTGCGTCTAATTTCTTTGTGAACGCATTATTTTGTTTTACTACATAGTATAGATAGATTTCCAGCACCACGCAGTATAGATAGATTTCCAGCACCACGCAGTATAGATAGATTTCCAGCACCACGCTCTCCTCTCAAAAAGTAATACAATAAATATGAAAATATAATTTATGGGTCGTCACACACCCCCAGGTGAGGCCGACTTTCCGTTTAAGAACCCTTGATTTTAGCCATGCACGTGCCGTTTTATTTAATTAATATAATTAACCCATCTACTGAAAATACCTATGTACTCGACCTACTTTATATATTTAACCTACTTATCTACCCCACCTACTTATCTGCTCAATCCTCCCAGGAGTAACTCACCTCAAGAAATTACATTTGTGATCACACTAGCACAGACATAATTGACTTTAAAAAAAAACATACATTGACGGACACATTAGCAGAGACAACTCATCTCAAACAAACAGGAAGTGTGTAGTGCTCTAAGATGTGAAGCACCCAGCACGGGATGAACGGCGACTCATGCTCAGATATAACCGCTTAAAACACGATGAGTGTACTAAAGTTGACCTACTTACCATTTCATTGGAAAACAATAATTAATCCTACCATTGTAGCTCCAGATGATGTCATGCCACACACACACACCTGTACAGACACACACACGCAAGAAAGCAGAGCGTCAAGAGCCACGAGACGAGTGTGTGAAAGATGTCAAACAGTTAATTACCCAAGTCCGGTAAGCAAGTGTTGGGCGAGTACTCACCCACACTGTTAGCTTGACACACATACGCTCGCACACACAAACAGGGCGCTGCCGTGGAAAAGTGGCGCCCCCCCCCCTCAAGGTACATAAAGATACACCAGATATGAATCAGTAACAAAAGACGCCTCCTCTGTGTGAAGTACATATGCATACAGAAATACACATACAAAAATACACATACAGAAATACAAAGACAGAAACACACATACAAAAGTACACACAGAAATACACATACAGAAATACACATACAAAAATACACACACAAAAATACACATACAGAATTACACAAAGAAATACACACAGAAATACACATACAAAAAGTCACATACAAAAAGACACATACAAAAAGTCACATACAAAAAGTCACATACAAAGACACATACAAACAAACGCATACACGCATACAAACACAGGCTTTCACTTACCTTTTTTTTTAAAAACTAAGACTTGTATATTGTGTTTGATAACAATTTAATTCATATATCAAGTTCATTAATTTTCTAGTACAAAAAAAACAAAAAAAATACAAACAAACAAACAAACAAACATTTATTTATTTTCTCCTAAACGTTTGGAAAAAAAAAACGACAGACACACTTCAAAATCTTAATGTAAAAAATAATGAAAAAATGTTAACACCATGAAGATTACAAAATGTAAACACTAAGATCAGTGCAATATTATTTTTACACAAGAACAGTGCGTAGATAGAGTACATAATTTGTTGACATAAAATAATATGTCACGTCATGCTGTTTAACTAATCTCAATATCTTACATTTATTTGACATACAATACCCGCTATGCCATGTCGAGCTGTTACAATAATCTTATCATCTAATATTTTTGACATATAATATCCTGTATGTCATGTCGTGCTGTTACAATAATCTTATCATCTAATTTTTTTTGACATACAATACCCTGTATGTCATGTCGTGCTGTTACAATAATCTTATCATCTAATATTTATTTGACATACAATACCCTGTATGTCATGTCGTGCTGTTACAATAATCTTATCATCTAATATTTATTTGACATACAATACCCTGTATGTCATGTCGTGCTGTTACAATAATCTTATCATCTAATATTTATTTGACATACAATACCCTGTATGTGCTGTTACAATACTCTCAGTAGCTTGCATTTATTTTAGGAGCGATATCTTTACTAAATTCATTGACAAGAGACTGGGTACTAAAACACTGGGAATATTTCAAAACAAAATTTTCCACTATGAGATAACATGGTGAAAAACATAGCATTTCTCATCTGTATAATATGTAAAAAGTGGTTATTTAATGAAATTTAAAAAAAAAATGATTTTACAGAGTCAATGACGCTCAGCGCCATTTTATTGAGATTGTGACGTCATTTATTTGGTAATAACATACGGACATATGATAACGTTGAAGGGGGTGTTGACTTAGTGCTGATGTATGTGGTATGGACCTACCCTTAAATGGTGATAAAATTGGGGTGGGCCTACCCTTTGAAAGCATCTGATCGGGATATGTGGGCATAGTCCCCCAAACAACAGAGATTCGTGCCGCTCTTCCATACACAAGGGCTCAATACAACATGAGGCTGACAGAACAGTTGGTTCAGATCACAAAAGACAATTCACCTTTAATGCCCAAAGGAAATATTTTATAGGAAGTTAGGAAGCCACCTTTATTGCCAGAAGGAAATATTTAATTGGAAGCCACCTTAATTGACTGAAGGAATTATTTTATAGGAATCCACCTTTATTGCCAGAAGGAAGTATTTTATAGGAAGCCACCTTTATTGCCAGAAGGAAGTATTTTATAGGAAGCTACCTTAATTGCCAGAAGGAAGTATTTTATAGGAAGCCATCTTTATTGCCAAAAGGAAGTATTTTATAGGAAGCCACCTTTATTGCCAGAAGGAAGTATTTTATAGGAACCCACCTTTATTGCCAGAAGGAAGTATTTTATAGGAAGCCCCCTTAATTGCCAGAAGGAAGTATTTTATAGGAAGCCATCTTTATTGCCAAAAGGAAGTATTTTATAGGAAGCCACCTTTATTGACAGAAGGAAGTATTTTATAGGAACCCACCTTTATTTATTGCCAGAAGGAAGTATTTTATAGGAAGCCACCTTTATTGCCAGAAGGAAGTATTTTAAAGGAAGCCACCTTTATTGCCAGAAGGAAGTATTTTAAAGGAAGCCACCTTAATTGCCCATTAAGACAGCAAATACTTAAGAGGCCACTGTAAGGTTCACTTAACCAAATGACCTCTAAGGACCTTACTCATTTCTGGGACCTTACTCATTTCTGTTTGATTTCATCTCTTCCATATGCTGTTCTACAACCCCCACCTTACTACTGCCACTGCCTTCTCTAGCAACCTCGAAACAATTGTCAGTACGGTCATTGAATACAACAGACATACAATCGCGCAGGGCTCAGAGTCTCTCTTCAATGATGTCGGGGTCCAGGCAGCTGTACTGCTCGCTCTGAAAGAGTTCAAGGTTGATGTAGTCGGCCTCCCGCTCCAGGAGCTCCTCCAGCTTCAGGCACAGCTGGTCGAAGCTGGGACGGCTGGACGGCTGGAACGACCAGCAATCGCACATGATGTTGTATCTGGAAGTGTCACAAAACAAATTGGCAAATTTTATGATAGATGACACATAAGGACAGATTTGGCCACATTTTTATCTGTCTTGGCACATATGGACATATTTAGACCCATACTGGGCACATTAGGCACGTGGGAAAATTTAGACACATGTGGTCAAATTTAGATTTGGTCAACGCCTTTAGAAAGTGATGAAGTGTGCTGATCCTAAGATGATGAAATAATGACATCAGAGACCACCAACGCTGATATGAGATACACCTTGACGTCCTTTCGTCTTAAAAAGCTGCAACAATGAGAAATGTCAGGGCAAAGCTCTCAAGGTATATGTGCACATTCATGATGTCTCATATAATTATATATATATATATATAAATATATATATATATANTATATATATATATATATATAATGACAATTAAGCCACAATAATACAATTCATGACACAACTCACAGTCCAACTAGCGTTGATGACCTCAACAACGGTGCCTTCCAGACCCTTGCAGCCCGCGCCCACTTTGTTTCCAATGACCATAGCTCCTAACCGTAGGATTTCGGGGTGCGGTGGTGGAAGAGGTTGGGGCAGGGCATTTAGGCTATGAGACTGATCAGAGGACAGCAAGCAAACAGGCGTAACAAAGGTCTCAGGGAACAAAGGTCTCAGTCGTTCAATTCTATGTTTTAGTTTAATGGCTATAATCAAAGGGTAAAGTCTCTCTTTAACCAGGAATTTAATGTTCGCTAAAAAAATCAATTTGGCAATAATTTAAATTTACTGATAACGATTTTCAAACTAAAATGTGGGAACATTTTTTTTTTTTACTTTTAAAGACGATTTTAAACCCATTAAAAAGTTTTAAATTAATTTCTAATATCAAATATATATATATCAAAGCTGGTGTTCAAAGGGTTGATATTGTTGTTCATAAGCTTCTTATTTATACTAATACTTAACTACAAGCTTGCATTTAATTATTTCAATAACCTAATATTTCCTCCCATTCAGTATCCCACATCGTAGCAACTCACAAAAGGGAGCAAGCAATTATAATATAATATATATATAT